AAGGGACTATGTTGATAAATGGATCGGCACCATTCCAAATTTTTTTGTTTTTCTTTTGAAGGCTAAGTACTTATCGGAGCACTTTTGTATACACTTACTTGGAGCAGCTGGGTTATTAAACGCACAGAGGTGTGGCCTTGAAGGTGCGCTGGTCACATGCGTATCTGTCCAGTAACTGGTGCCCTCTTCATCGTGGCATCATTGGTGATCAGTCGTTTCCGATATAGCGATCTGTTTTATCGAAGTGACTTCTCATGTCACGTTTCCGTAGAGAACACAGAGGCGACGACAAAAACACATTTACTTAGGCCCGGCTACCACTGCAGCGGCGAGGCAAGCCCGATACCCGAGCGTCATGGCGCCCAGCCCAATAATTGTTCTCTCTCTCTCTTTGTTCGCCTGCGCCCCCATACTCTCCAGCCCGCAAACTTCGAGGCATATGTGTGTTTCCAGCTTATGCGGATCTCCTGCCCCGCCGCGGTGGTCTAGTGGCTAAGGTACTCGGCTGCTGACGCGCAGGTCGCGCGATCGAATCCCAGCTGCGGCGGCCGCATTCGATGAAGGCGAAACTGCTGGATTGTATGTAAAGAACGCCAGGTGGTCGAAATTTCCGAAGCCCTCCACTACGGCGTCTCTCATAATCTTATGGCGGTTTTGGGACGTTAAAACCCCGCATATAAATCAATCCATTTAGTGAAATGGCAAAAAGACACAAAAAGACGCACAGCATCAAGACAAGCGGAAACAACTGTACGTTTAGTTAAATGCGTAATCAAACTTTTGTTTCTTTTTTTATTTGCTGAGAATGAAGTGAGTTGCTAGGAAGAATTCCCATCCTTGGTGTTCGTTGTGCAGCTTATTACAACAACACTTACTGAAATATAGTCTGCGTGCATACCGTTCTTACATGCCTATTATTTTAATGAATACTTCATCCAAGGTGTTCTTTTTTTTTTTACTAACTTTGATACTACTACACTTCATAACCGTATGTCATACAACTCTGCACCAGATATTATGTCAGTACCAGGCGTACTTTTAATGCCACTCAGCTTTAAAACTAAGTCCTCCACCGGTCCAGATGACATACCTAACCAAAGTTGGTGATTCATGATCGATGTATACTGCGCGGTATAGCTCACCGTGCTTGTCCTCGTCTGTTAGGCGCCCGAGTTCTCTACCGTGCAATGCAGATCGGTCTTACCCAACGTTTCTTTTTATTTTTTAAGGTATGTACTAGCATAAGCGTCTTTAATAAAAACTCGCCCGTTTCAAGTGTTATTAGAGAGTTTTAGTACTGCGTACGCTGCGTACGTGGCGGCGTTGCGTACGTAAAGACACCACGTTCTGCGTAGTGCGCATGCGCAGACCGCAACGCGCACGTATCGCATTACGTACGCAGCCGCTACGTACGCACGCATGAGCCGCGTGCGTGCGTACGTATGAGCTGATCGCGCCGCTCTCGAACAAGTTCGCGAAAGCGCGAGACTTCGTTTTGCAAAATGGCGGCATCGAAGGCAAGCACCGACCAGCTCTGTGGCTTAAAATATGGCCATAATCTGGCTATAACACTTGGATTGGCTCACATTGGCTGTCAACAACACGTGCTTCTATTTTGACTTACCAGATGGCGCAACACGCTTCACGCTCGTTACGTACGCGGGTAATATACGGCGTACTAAAAGCCGATTAGTGGCAAACGACGCCACGTAACGCAAGGCGCTTGCGTGATGCTTACGTAGCACCATTCCGCTGTACTAAATCTCTCTATTGTCTTCAGCCATACGCTTCCCAGTGATTGGCTTTCGGTACGTGTTGTGCCTGCATTGAAAAAAAAAAGACGATGCCACACTAGTTGTAAATTATCGCCATTTATCACTAACTTTTTCGTGTTGCATAATGCTTGAACATATACTAGTTAATGGAATTGACAAGTTTATAGGTGATAACTACGTACTTTGTTTCTTCATTTATGGTTTTCGCAAAGGTTTCTCCACAATTAACAATAGTTGTTCTTAAGTTCGCCAGGGTTCTTGATGGATCTGATCAGGTTGATGTGATACTTATATACATTTCAAGAAAACGTTCTATCTTGTGTCTCGTGTGAAGCTTATTAATAAATTAGAATCAATTAGCCTTCCAGAAGAAGAATGTGTTTATTGAGAAGGAAGAGGAGAGGTCGGCCTGGAAAGCGGGTTTCTCGCCTGCTACTCCTCAAAGGGGTTAAAGGAAGAGGGGACGAAAGAAAAAGAGTGCATGATGAGGGGTGATTGTGATATAGCACAATCAGTCACACTTACTGCACACGATGTCTCGTTCGGTGTATTACACGTGCAAAAGTCTCTACATTAGCAGATGCTCTAAAGACGGGAATCTAAACCTGTCTTGCTTAGAAATGCCAGTAGGCCCTTTAAGCTGCGTTGGGCGTGATCCGCACGTTTCCAAGCACCCACAAACTTCTCTTCCGGCAGTCTAGGTGAACTGTGAGGTGCTTAAGAGATTGTCTTTCGACCGCGTATTGCAGGCGCACGCACAGGATGTGAGTAATAGTGTCTGGCGTGTGACACAAATTGCAGTTACGATTTTGCTCCTGTGCAATCTTGCATTCGCACCGTCGCGTATATGCAGTCCATGTAGTAGCGTTTCCTGGTCTCTCCTTAGTCGGAACTGAAGGCGCGCTCGTGGTGACAATCCGGATCATAGACCTTTAGGCGTTGATGTCATATCGGGAAAAGTGAATTCATATCACTCCGCCGCTAGTGCGCGCCATTTTCGCTTCTGCGTCAGCTTGTTCATTCAGTGAATGGGAATCAATTGCAACGCAACGGCATGTCCCGATTGAAGTGCCTCATTCAACATATTCATTATGCCACACACCGGAGTACTGCAGGCAGTGTCTTGCTTCATGTAGTTTCTAATTAGCTCAAGTGCCGGCTCGGAGTCGCAAAATAATGCCCATTTCGATGGACTCTGCTGTAAAATGTAGCAGGGAGCTTGTCGGATGCTGGTCCGCTCAGCGGCAGTAGAGGATGTCTGGTGTGCACTTTTGAAGCGTTGCGTGATTCCCATGTGAGGCACAGTGAAAGCTGCTGCTGAGAAGGTCTGCGTGGCAGAGCCATCAGCAAAAATCTAAACATTACGTATGTACTCTTTTGATACAGCCGTCACGTCGGGTTAACGTCAATTGTGGTTAGGAGCCATGCGATGAAGTTGATTTATGTAGCAGTGTCCAGGGCCAGCATCTTCGCGAGCATAAGCGCTTCGTATCAGCTTCTGGGGTTGCTAATACGCGTGTTCCAGTTGACATCGTTGTGCAAGTGCAAACAACTGGTTATATAAATATCTCCAACTCTTCAACACATGTCTGTGCGTGCAGCATTTGTACATATATTTAGCTTCGTTTCATTACGCGTGGCTCAATAAACAAATGGCAACATGGTAACCTTCTCTCCGCATGCTTCGCTTAACTTCGAATCCCAGGTACGTCGGATCTGTCGAATTTTTTTTTTCACATTCATCTAACGGCAATTTTTAGAACGTGTAACAGTTTGACCTTACTGTCATTTATTCGCTATCTTTATATCTTCGCTAATTGGTTATTCCGCGTTTTCTGATCAAGGACTTCTTAAAATTGTTTTGTTTCTTCATGTTTTCATGTGTAAATACGTATGAACTCTTTTCGCAACGTGGCCTTAATTCGAAGTATGTTAGAAATTTGCATTTATTTCACTCTGTTGCTACTTCTTGGCTATGGCTATTTTTATTTGTTTGTTTTTGCTTTACTTATTAGTGCTATTTTTTGCGTGATATGTATTTGTAACACTTTCTAATGCGTGTCCGGGTTTCGCGTTGTACCATTAATTTTTTTTTTTTGCATTCGTTTCCTGCCTAAGCCCATTTCTGGGCCTGCAGTATTGTGTAAATAAATAAATAAATAAATAAATAAGTAAATAAATAAATAAATAAATAAATTTCAGATGTTGGCATCTAATTATGTGCCTTCACTCACTAACACGCTTGAAAACGCGCACGAAGCTGCAAGAACAGTGTCTTTAAGACAATGCGTCGTTTGGATTACCCAAAGTCTGATTAAGACGAACTCAAACGAGCCACGACAAAGGTCACGTAGGAAGTGCGAATAATTAGTTGCTCAAAGCTGTAGGTTCGTACATTGCGCTACGAAATGTATGCCACTTCGGCCTGTCGAATATCCAGCGTCAAAGCCCAACAGGACCACTTCTGCAGAGCGGCAAAGCGTGTGCACTCTCACCTTGAGTAACTTCGAGAGCTTTCGTTGCGTGCTCGTCCCAGAACGTTTTTTGGCTGCGGCGGTGACTTTGTCTCTTGACGTCGCACACTTGGGCGGTGACTTCGTTCACGTTTTCAATGTACGTGGGCAATATACTTTTCTGCTTGTCTCAGTGTTACTGTAAGAAAGCGCTTCGACCGTTTCCTTCACCTTTTTTTTTAATCGCCCTGTTATGTTACCCCTTGTGTTATTACTTTGAGAAAGTAACGCAAGGATATCTTTAAACAAATAAACAACGCAGGCGACGAGCGCCAATCGAACGCGGTTCTGGATTTCATGGTTTTTCCTTTTGTTGTTTATGACACCCGTGATTTCGTTGATGCATTATTACGCGATGAAAGTACTGCGCAAAAGAAAGTGCTGTTCATAACGAAGGCAGCTTAGACTCGTCCCATTTATTCTCTGAAAGTATTATTTTCTGCTCTCAAATCGTTCGCCTGCGGACGTATCGCATGGATGTAGCACACTCCGAAGAGTTGCCACAGCAAGATGTTGTTTCCGATTTTATGTGTTGCCCCTCGAAATGTGCCCTTGACGAGACGTCGGCTGCAGTGACGACACTTTTTATTCGACGACTTCTTAACAGTGCAATAAGCCGCCATCGCTTCCTGAACTTGCTATCCGAGTGCGTAACCATGCATGGTAACAAATTATGGTATATAATCCCAGTCCTCTTTTTTTTTTTCTTCAGGTTGCCAACTCCTGCGCCGCTTTCCTCGACGGCACAAAGTGACCGCAACCAGCGAAGGTGAGTGTGTAGGAGACCGGATGTTGCGTTACTCCCGTTTTCGAGGAAATGTTTAGCCTGTGCAAGACGCGGAAAATGAAGTTGCTTCTTTACGGCGCCGCTGAAATCTGTAGTAATTAGCTGTGCCTCAGAGGCAGGTCGGGGACCTTTAAGAATGTGACCCGAGGTGATATTTGCTGAACGCGATTTTGCATATCGTGTCGATATTGGCATCTGTTATCTTCAGGTAACCGCATAATGAAAGCGAAAATAATCGTGGGAAAAATATCTTCCACTGATCGACTGGCGAGCCACTGACAAGCCAGCATTTGTGTTTGTTTTACTGCCCGCGTGTGCGTTAGACTACACAATGCGTTAAGGTCAGGGAAAGCATAGAGGCCAATAATTGTTCACGTTAAAGAACCCCAGGTGGTCTAAATTTCCGGAGCCCTTCACTACGGCGTCTCTCATAATCATATAGTGGTTTTGGGACGTTAAACCCCACATATCAATCAGGCCAATAATTGTTATCCCTAACTGATGCTGATAACGACTCTAACGGAAATGAATGAAAGTAAGCGAAATGAATGTCGCCCTCTCCATCGGTTACTTGATTTCACTTGCACCTAATTCATATATGCGAATGAAGTTTGGCAGTATGTTTGTGAAATGAAGACTCGGATGACATTGATGAATGGCAATCTTTTTGCAGCTCTTGGTGCGCTTTCAATAGGGATTGACATGTGTGCTTTCGCGCTTACGCTTTGACGTATGTACGTCCGGTGCTTACATTAAAACAGTGGATACGAGGCATCAGCCAGTTCTAAAAAATCACGTGGCCGACATCGGAGCTGCACGTTCGTTGCAGCGCTCGACTGGGGACTCGAAGGTCGCGGGGCCGAATCCCGCCAGACGCAGTTCAATGGAGGCGAAAATGTGGGCCTCGTGTCCACCCCTTAATGCCTGAATTATGAAACTGCCGAACAAAATAAAAATGTGTTTTCATTTGTCAACTCTAAGTAGCAGCCTTTATATGATTCCGCAGCTAAATTATCTAAAACGCAACTTTAATGCATACTTTTATGTACGTCGCGAATTCTGCAACTGCCACAGAATCGAGGACCTTGCAACGAAAAAAACGTAATTCAGAACTACACGTAACATGCCGTGTGCCCCTTCTTGGGGGTGTACACAGCAAATAAACAAAATTGCTCAAGATAGAACTAGCCAGGCGAGAAAGGACGAAGTAGAGAGAGCTGGGTCGCGCGCTTTGCGGAGTCATCAGCTACAAAACAAATGGTGCTATCGCATCAAATACCTTAGACAAGGCATTGCTAGATTTTTCATACCGAAAGCTACGTTCCCCGTGCGTACATGGCAGCTGGCATTAAAGGGGGCACGCATTTCTTGACTTACGCGTGCTAGACGGTTTTCGGCTTGTCGAGAATTCGTGACACTCGGCAGTAAAGGGTTAAGGAACCACAGGTTGTTAAAATTTCTGGAACCATCCACCGCGGCATCCATAATTTCGTATTTTGGGGACGTAAAATTCCAAAAGTTATAATCAATTTTTTACGAAGCCTTTCAAGAAATACTTGGTGCTGGTTAAATAAAGGTCCCCTTAACGACACCGTATGAAATGCGCACACTTCAAATGTGGCCGTTTCGCTTTCAAGGAACCGTTACGGACGAGGTGAGGGGCGCAATGCCTGGCTGTCCACCTTCTTTTGGGGAAGGAGCGGGAGAGAGAAAAGCTCGGTGATGGAGACTGACGAAGCTGCGGGCAAAGAACTTGGCCAATTAATTGAATGAAAGAATGGCGAGGATTCCCTCCTCCCTATAGGCTGTTGTTGTGCGGGAGTGTACATAGCGGCCGCATATAGGATTTATGCGGCACCCACGTACGACGACCATATACGCTATGAAAGGAAGAGCTGGCCGTTACTTACACGTTATTTCTGATTGGAAACTGCAATGTTTTGCCTTTATTACTCTTGCCTCCATCTGTTGTCGACGCTTTTGTGCACCCATTCTCACGTATTTCATTGAATGTGGCGAAATGAATGCCGACAAGGTTATAAATTGTAAACGCTTTCTTAACAAGCTATAGACAATTTTACCTTAGGCGCAGCCAACTTGAGCTGGTTTTCTTGATTTTGTATATTTCAATGGGAATTAATAAGGCCGTGAAACGTCGTATCCACCAACACAACCGTTTTTTGCGTACGATTCTATTGTAATACTATTCGATTAGTTGTTGAAGATGCAAGTTGTTAAAGATATCCCTTCCTTAAAATAGTCTACACGAGGTGCCCTCTGTTTGGCTTAATTGTGAGCGAGCGCAGTTTAGCCGATGCCCACCGGGGGGAAGGAGGGCATTTATACGGCGGAGTAACGCCCTTGACCTTCAAGTGACGTCTCGTTTTTACGTTCGGTGCGCGCACTGTTTGGAAAACGCTGCCGCCGCAGCCGGGATTCGATCCAGCGAAAACGCTGAAACAGCTTCGTGTCGCGATGAGCTGGTTTGCGCAGGATATGCGACGGGCTGGTTTCCTTTACAGTGCATTCATGTCGTGCGTTATACAGACACCGGTGGCGTTCTGTGCTTCGCGATCATTTTCCTGTTTCGAAAATTGACGTCACGTACAGCATCCGCTGTTGCAACTCGTTGTGTCACCTAAACATTTGCAATTCAAGGGCGATGGAGTGTGCGTAGCTATACATACAACGCAGTGAACAAAGTGGAAGACGTTGCTCGCGCAAATGTTGGTCGTAGTTGCTGTCTTAGTTTTTTACTATACCTGCCCTTGTTTTTTTCCTTCGAGGGACACATCGAGAGCGCTCCTTTAAGCCGAGTGAAATTGTGACAATGGCGATGGAAGAGGATGCACGAGTGACGAGTTCTGAGAAGTCATTTAAAGCGCCCCGAATTCGGTGTATCGCTGCATGCGCAGTGCTTCTCGTGTACTTTATCGATGTAACGCTTCTGCAGTAGGAAAATATAAACTAGAACTTTGAGAACTGTAGGTACTACATCACGAAGAAGGCGCACATAATAAACATTTTCAAGCATGCCGATTTCCTGCGAGAAAAAGAGAGAGTTGATGCTTTAATTAGAAGGTATACACAGCCGGCGTTAATAAATCGCTGGCTTGCGGCATTGCGTGAGGAAAGGAAGAGAAAGACGTGGGCTGAGAGGCGCGTGAGAAAGTTAGGTAAGAAATGTTAAAATGGCCAAAAACTCGTTTTGTAAAGCTGACCGCTGCAGCCAAATATGTAAATAGAAATTTCATCGCACGCCTTCGTTGCTTGAAGCGCAGCATAAATACCGCAGGGAAACCATAAAGTTACTTGTGCGATCGTGTGTTCAGTACGCATTCCATGCACCGAATTCGACGGCAAGAAGTGCTCGCCAGCCAGCCGCATCCACGAGAGCGCCTGCTAACGATTGCAGAAATAATATCTTTTGTGGATGCCGGCAATAGGTATATACCCCGCGGTCTGACCGACGGGTTGTACGAGCCTTGCCTATCGCAACGTTTTCGTCCAGTAAGCACGGAGACATGATCATCGGCGCACAGCTGCCCCCTTATGGGCCCCGTTCAACGCCGGGGAAGTTATCGGAGCTCACATTTCAAGCTCTGTAGTGTATCGCAGGAGCCCGAACAGTGTCCCCCCGTGGTGGTCTAGTGGCTAAGGCACTCGGCTGCTGGCCCGCTGGTCGCGGGATCGAATCCCTGCTGCGGCGGCTGCATTTTCGATGGAGGCGAAAATGCCCGTGTTAAAAAAGGTCCGTATGAAAAAATGCCAGGTGGTCGAAATTGCCGGAGCCCTCCACTACGGTGTGTTGTTATGCCAGCGAGTCCTCGTCAAACGTCCGTGCCTCTGAAACAGGCAATCTGGGTCAAGGCCAGCCCGCACTCCGCCGGGCGCGAACAACTCCACGGCGTGAACACGCGCGGCGCATCTGTGGCCCACGTGCATTGAGTCAGTTGCGCACGTGACAGCGAGCCGGCGTCCTCATGTCTGGTGGCCTGACGCATCGCGCGGCGAACCCCATTGGAGGAGCCTGCTCGGAAGACCAGCGGCGCTTCTGATTGGACATTTTAGTTGGGCCCGGTGTAAATAAAAGAAGCCCTGCGGCGCGTCGCGATCGGCAGTCCTACGAGAGAGGAGTCCCCATGTCGGAGTGCCGACATGTGTGTGAGTCAGCGGTCTTAGGCGAAAGGCTGATCTATGTGTTAGAGAGAAGAGCTCGGCTCTTCGAGTCTCTGTCGGCCCCAGTGCCGAAATTGTAACGCCTCTGTATATATGCTGTACATAAACCTTGTTTAACTCACCGTCGTCTCGTCCGCTCGTCTTATCGGCTCTGCGCAGAAGCAGTCGCAGGCTGATAAACATACGCTACCAAACGGCTGGTGACCTTCCCGGCGGAGTTGAAAGCAGTGGCGCCTCCGGGGCCGTGTTGGCGTCGCCGTCTTTCGCAACAGTGGTGGCTTCGGCGGGATCGGTCCGTCGTTCGCAACAGTGGAGGTCAGCGGTGGCATTTCGGAGGTGGCTACGCAACAGTGGTTGGCAGCTGCGGGATCGGCCGGCGTCAGCGACATCGATGCGGTGAGTGCCCGATGTTTTCCCCTCAGTTCACCAGACTACTCTAGCTCAGGTTGTAGTAGTTTAGAGAAGGGCTGTGTGAAGCATTGAAGTGAGCTTTGATCGTTTCAAGCCAAGTCGAAGCGCTTTGAAACCAAAGTTAATGCGGAGGGGGTAAACACGGGAGTGTGAAAAATTGCTTGCGCGTCTTGCTAGTAGGCTTATAGTGGGTACGGCAAGTAGATTTTTAACAGGGGCAAACAGCAAGAGGCTAGTGTGAACGATGGAGAACCTTAAAGTGAAGGAACTCATCGAAATTTGTGAGGAACTCGGCATTACTTTGGGCCGTGCGAAACGAAAGCAAGCGATCCTTGAGATCATGAAGCATGAGGGAGTGTCGGCTGAGGAAGTCGATGAGGCCTGGGTGGATA